AAAAAAAAAAAAAAAAAAAAGAGAGATGAATAGAGTTAGATATGTAATTATTATTTTCAGTATGCCTGCAATAATATAACAATTCAGTATATTTGCAGATGAGAGCAATCATCAAGAATGTTACTGCAGATGACATCAAAAAAATTGTACCACATTTACACTCATATTTTGTTGCTCTCAGTAAAGTGTTACAAGATTCTGATGATAATATTATTATAAATTGTCTGGAAGTTATTAAATTAAGTATTCAAAAGTTTAATGGATATCTTGACGATCACTGTCAGGTAAAATAAAAAAAAAATACGGTGTTATTCAAATATATTTTAAGCTTTTTATTTTTAAATATTTTACAGTAATTGTGAAACAAAAAAAGTTGAAGGTTTTTGTGCTGAAAAATTTTTCTTGTCTGTATTATAGAAAAGCGGTAAATTGTCGATATAATAAAAAGATTTTAAGTTTTTTCTTTCTTTTCAGCAAATTATCGCATTAGTTGGAAAAAATTTTGGAACAGAAAGGGCGTTGATCAGACAACTGACAATGTCAATTTGCCTAGAACTGATGCGAAATACCAACGTCAAGGTGGTGATGTCGGGGTTGTGTCCATATACTGACGACAAAAATTCACGAGTCAAAGAAGAAGTCTGTTCTGATCAACTTCTAATTATGCTTTTCTTTTTGCTGCTGTTGTTTTTTTGCTTTATAAACTACCGGAAATTAATTGAAGGTACTAAACATACTTACTGCTGGATGCCTAAAATTTGATGCTTCTAAACTGAACTTAAGAGCTGTTGCCGATGTCATTGTACCGCTTCTCATTGATGAACAACGAAGAGTTAGGTTTGTCATTAGAACTATTATTATTCTTAAACTTGCAGTTTTACATCCTTCATTAGCCAAATATTGTCAACCATAATTTCAATGACGGCCTATTGGTTGAATCAAGATTTCATTAATTGACTGAGTATTGAATTAAGAATTTCTTACGGTTTTTATCAACAACTCAACTGATAGCCTTATTTTACAGCCCCCAAAAAATCCACTGATGATAATTTTTAGACTTGCTGCATTTGAGCTATTTGCTGTAATTTCGAGTATAGACAGCAACGACAGCGATGACCTATTGGGATTGGTTCGAAACCTGGAAGCCAAGAAACGAACTTATGGCTTGACTGATGCTGTTGCGGTAAGAAGACATTGTCAGATGTTCAAAACAACATTATATAGACTATGATAAAGAATCACATTAATGAAACATTTTAGCTTACTGAAGAGATAGTAAAAAAAAAGCTTCGGTGTTTAAGTTTGACCAAATTCCAGATGTCACAAAAGTCTTTCCTTTAAGCATATTTCTCGCATTACTAAATTTTGCTTCGTATTAATTGTTTTTTTATAAACAGTCTTTTTATCCCGTTTTCTGCCAAAAAAATTTAATGGTCATTTTAAAAAGTAGCTACATATACATTATTTTCTATTTTAGAGACTTATAGGATTTTTTTCATAAGCCGTAAAGAGATAGTTTAATTCAGAAAATTGTTTATTTAACGATCAAATGATTAACAGTTTTAGCGTCGTGTATCGAGAAATGTGTTACCAAAAATTCGTTTTGATGGTCTTATTGAGTATTCTACACCATTTTCACTGTTATCGCCTTCAATGCTCGGCAGTGAAAGTCGAAATCATGAAAATGCTGATTATAATTGGATTAAAAGAGGAAATACTGTACCTTGTACAGCGGTCACAAGGTTTCTAAGTTTTACTTATGTACAGCTCAAAAAAGAAGATATTTTCAAGAGACAATTTAAGCGTACCGAAACACTGTCGTCTTACGGCGCACAGTTACTGAATTGCACAGTATAAACATTTTCTAAAATGTTCAATGGGATTTTTTGGATAAATTTTGTCTGAGTGCGTAGCAACTTTTTTTTTAAAATGTTTATCCTATTTTCATTAAAAGCTTCTAATTAGAGGGTATTCAAAATAAACTTTTTCTTCAGTTATCACAGAATAGACATCTATAAATGTTAAATGTTAAAAAAAAGTAAGAGACAATAGCGATGGCGCAACAAAACACTTATAAAAAAACATTTCAAAGAAAGCTTCTTACAGCAAAATTTATCTTTTTGAAGCAGACGTTCAAGCGCAAACAAATACCTTTTTATGGCCAAGAAAAGGAAGACTGATTCTTCTTTTTGTTTAATTAGTCTATTTATTCAGTAGTTCCTGTTTTTAGACGCTTATCACCGTTACTTTTGAAACGTAATTTAAGCGATGAACGGAATCTTTCTTCATGGACTGCAAGTCTTGGTGAAGCGGTAATCTTAATTTGTTTTTGTTTTTGTTTTTCATATTTTTCCCTTCATTTTCGAATAAATTGTCAACTAAATCCAGAAAAGTTGGTTAAATTCACATTAAATGCCCTTTTTCC